AAATAGCGTGAACGGTAAAATGCCATGTCTATACACACACACAAAACGGTATAGGTCGACAGTGGAAAATAGCGTGAACGGTAAAATGCCATGTCTACACACACACAAAACGGTATAGGCCGACAGTGGAAAATAGCGTGAACGGTAAAATGCCATGTCTATACACACACACAAAACGGTATAGGCCGACAGTGGAAAATAGCGTGAACGGTAAAATGCCATGTCTATACACACACACAAAACGGTATAGGCCGACAGTGGAAAATAGGGTGAACGGTAAAATGCCATGTCTACACACACACACAAAACGGTATAGGCCGACAGTGGAAAATAGCGTGAACGGTAAAATGCCATGTCTACACACACACACAAAACGGTATAGGCCGACAGTGGAAAATAGCGTGAACGGTAAAATGCAATGTCTATACACACACACACAAATCGGTATAGGTCGACAGTGGAAAATAGCGTGAACGGTAAAATGCCATGTCTACACACACACAAAACGGTATAGGCCGACAGTGGAAAATAGCGTGAACGGTAAAATGCCATGTCTATACACACACACAAAACGGTATAGGCTGACAGTGGAAAATAGCATGAACGGTAAAATGCCATGTCTATACACACACACAAATTGGTATAGGCCGACAGTGGAAAATAGCGTGAACGGTAAAATGCCATGTCTATACACACACACAAAACGGTATAGGCCGACAGTGGAAAATAGCGTGACCGGTAAAATGCCATGTCTACACACACACACTAAACGGTATAGGCCGACAGTGGAAAATAGCGTGAACGGTAAAATGCCATGTCTATACACACACACAAAACGGTATAGGCCGACAGTGGAAAATAGCGTGAACGGTAAAATGCCATGTCTACACACACACACAAAACGGTATAGGCCGACAGTGGAAAATAGCGTGAACGGTAAAATGCCATGTCTACACACACACACAAGACGGTATAGGCCGACAGTGGAAAATAGCGTGAACGGTAAAATGGTTAACAATGTCTATTGAGAAACACACGCTAGACTCGACGAACTCACATACAATGTACCTCTAATGACTTGATGTAATGGTAGTCAGCTGGGCTGCCATATCGCAGAACAAGACCATCTCTGCATTCACTGTTTGACAGCTAGAACCTATGAGCCTTCAGTGGACGGCAGGTGCATGGTTAGTCAGCTGAACACTCCAGACTCGCGGACCTGCTGCATGGCACGATGCAGACTTTCAGAGAATGTGCTGATTACACAACGTCACCGTAGCAGCAGCAGCAGCACCGTGAATATGGCCTATCTTCACTGTCTACCTTCCTTGGTCTTCATATGACTGACAGTGGACAGCGAAGTTCTAAGCTGTGGACATTGAGACATGATGTTGTAGAGGTGAGGGATGGTGAGGAACGATACAACGTACCCAGTTCAGTTGGATCAAGCATACCAAGACAGCCTTCTGGACATGGGAAAGAGAAGAGATGATGGAGACCAGTGTCAACAGGTTGTTCTGTCAGGTTTGTTAGATCTTTGCATGACATGCTCTACGTTTGTCATGGCTTGGGCACGATGGAAACGATGCGCCTCTGTAAGTTTGTACCCTTGGTGATGGTTTGGCGGGAAGAGCGCAATACATGTGGTTCTTTTCAAGCACAATCTTCACGAACTGCTGTCCCACTCTTCATTTACTGACTATAATATTTACTTGACGACACTTGATATAATTATGTAGTAGGTTTAAAATAATTTATGACAATAGAATGACTTTCAAGACCAACATTCTCTTCACAGTGTGCTCATAATGACAGTTGCGGAGCATGGAATACTTTCCTGCAGGCAAACTACACCTCGCTGGATCACATGCAGCGCATCCTGACCTGCACGTTCACACTGGTCACGTATTACTTCTGTTGACTGCACGCATTTGCTTCAGAGCGCACTTCAGCCCTGCTGCAGTCAACCTTGCCAGCCAATATGGCACTTTTGATTATTTTTGGTCGCCGTGTGCAGGTCCAAAATGTCACTTGGTGCACTAAAAGTCGGTCCTGGTCGCGCAAGGCAGGAGGTCTCTGAATCCGGAGCAGGTTCTGTGTAGAACTGTCCGTAAATAGAAAATGGCCGTTAAAGGTAGGTGGTCGCTAACACCAGAGGTCGCTTGCACCAGGTTTTACTTTATCTGATATACACACTATGTAATATGATGTGAATGAACTACTACCCATCTTCTCCTGTTGGTTGATAGCATGTAAGAAGGAGGAGACCACCGTGTTGGGAAACAGTGACCTTACTACAACCATCCACGGTTGGTGCAACCCTGGTCTTTGCGACCATCTGAACCGTATGAGTGTTAGACTCGGGTCTGACACTGCTTGTTCTAAGGGTGGTCTTAGTTTTCTTGTTGTTCTACCGTCAGTCGTGTATTCGTTGTTCGCCCCTGGATGTATTCTTGATACTCAGTCCTCATACAATTTGTAGCTTCTGATCTGAATTGTTCTTCTTACTTCTCTTTTTATACTCATTTTCCAACTCCTGGCCCCATGACGTCACTCTCTCAGCTCATCATCAGACAACAGTTACTGTCACCACAATGTCACTGTCGTTTGCACGTGACACTGCTGCTCTGGCAATCTCTGACAGCTCGCTAGATCAGCTTGTTACAAACTAAGAAAGTGTTGCAGGCTGGCATCAACACCAGCGTCTTAGGTGTACTGGCGTACAAGCCACGCGAAAGCAACATTCCATTCATTCATCTCGAGAACGCTATGGTCTACTGCAGGCCCATCTCTTAGCCTGTCAAACCCTATATATAGGGTTTGTGGGCTGTTGCCAAAACGCGTACCCGTGCTGCATGCAAACGAGGTACCATGGCAACACAAAATGGCCTCCGATCCCTCCGCGGAAGTCCTGAGGCCCTCCTGACACAAAGATTTTGTCGTTTCTGAAGTTTCTTTGTTTTCCTATGATCGACTTTTGCTTTGCCTTCTGTAATGTTGGTCTCTTACTTTATTCCAACAACAACTAACCCGGAGCTCCGGAAAGCTCCGCAATATGATGCCAACAGAATGTCATGGTGTGCGTGCATGAGTACACAGTCGGTGCGTACCGACTGTCAGCACAGGTGTGGAAAGCGGCCTATGTAAATGGGGATAGGAGTACAAACGGCACTGTGTATATATATGCGTGTGACAGTCCATATATGTATGTGTGAACACTACATCCCTCCCAACGCAGAAGGAATGTTCTATCGCTAAAGACTAGTAAAGAGAAGATTCGGATATGGTGGAAAGAACGAACGAACAGTAAGGGAAAGGCATAAACCAGAATGCACGAAGGGAGTTAGACAGATAGAGCAAACTAGAGCCCTTCCTTTCCCAACAGGAAATGAACTGGGTATGCATGAGTGTCCCAGCAGATCAGGGTGGTGGAGGGGTCACAGTGCTGTGGGCAGACTTGGCAGCTCGGGACGGCTGCTGGCGAGGTACTGCCTGGGTTCCAGTGTTGACGGCAGGTGGACCGGGAGCTGGTGTGGTGGCAGCACTGTCAGCTGGTAGTGGGTGATGGGCTGGTGGCGTGACAACAATTACGGGCTTGACGAACGACATATGGCGAGTCGATCTTTGGCCAGTTGCCGGGTTGGAGATCGTCACCGTAGACCCGGAGGTCCGGTCCACGGTCCAGGGGTTGGGATCCCACTGTGGTGAGAGCTTGTTGTGTGCCTGCTCGTTGCGGCGTAAGACGCGCTGACCAGGAGTGAGGATGGGGGCGTTTGACCGGCGGGTGGCATTGGCAGCGTCGCACTGGGATTGGCGGAATTGCTGGTCACGGTGGGCAGCTGAAGGCAAGTCTGGTGCCGTTGGCGTAATGCAGGGTATGCTGTCGCGGATGGGGCGACCAAACATGAGTGTTGCCGGTGCCTCGTGGGTGGCAGGGTGTGGCGTGTTGCGGTACGCTAGAAGCCATTGGTCTAATGCAACATTGATGTCTTCGCCAGCTAGTTTGGCAGTTTGCAGAACTTTGCCAATGGTACGGTTGAGGCGCTCGACTGCTCCGTTTGCTTGTGGCCACAAAGGAGGGGTGCGGCGGTGCTGGATAGCGTGTTGCGCGAGGAAATCAGCAAAAGCCGAAGAACGGAACTGAGGACCGTTGTCCGAGACTAGCTCTTCGGGCAAGCCGAACATGGAGAATGTAGAGCGCAGAGCTTTAACAACACCGGCCGTAGTGGGTGTCGTGCTGAACACGTTGATGACCGGGTAGCGAGTCAACTGGTCGATAGTGGCAAGCAGGTGCTGACCGTTCGGCATGGGTCCGTACAAATCGACGAAGACTCGTTGCCACGGCGTGGTGGACGGTGGTGTGGGCACTGACTCCGGACGTAGCGGTGTCGTTGAGAGAGTTGCTTGGCACGCAATACATTGCCGGCAGAGTGCTTCGGCTTCAGTAGCCATGTTGGGCCACCAAACCTTGCTGTTGAGCCGTTGCTTGGTGCGGACGATACCTTGGTGGCCCGCATGTGCAAGCTGCAGGGTACGCCGTTGGAGGGCCGTGGGAATGACGAGACGGTCGTTGCGGAGTAGTAGACCGTCACTCTCAGACAGTTCATGGCGGAGGGCAAAGTATGGGCGGACCGTGGTGTGGTTGGAATCCCAGCGGCCAGTTTGCAGAGAGGAAAGGACGGCTTGCAGGGTGGTGTCTGTGGTGGTGGCGTCCGCAATCTCCTTCAGAGCCAACGCATTCGGCTTAGCTGCTGTAGCTAGGGCATGTATGTACGCCGTGTCTTCCTGTGCGCCGACGTTTGGCAAGTCGGGATGAGGCTGCGGGTTGCGACTGAGGACGTCGGCCGGGTTTTCTGGGCCAGGCTTGTACTGGAGCTGGAAGCTGAGATCCTGCAGGCGGAGGACCATGCGCTCAATTCGTGGCGGAGGTCTCGATCCGACGGCCATGAGTTGCAGGAGCGGCTTGTGGTCTGTGACAACGGTGAACTGTGGATCACCTGCTAAGTAGTGGTGAAAACGAAGGCACCAAACTTGACGCCCAATGCTTCCCGTTCAGTTTGGGAATACCGCTGCTCGACATCGGAGAGTGCACGGCTGGCGAACGCTACGGGTGCATCGTGGCCGTTGTCTTGGCGTTGACACAGGATTGCGCCGAGGCCGGTGGGCGATGCGTCAACATACAGTGATGTGTACCGCTTGCGGTCGAAGTATTGCAGCATGCGGTCTTCGGCGATGGCCTCCTTCAGTGCATCAAATGATTGCTGCTCAACATCAGTCCAACGCCAAACAGTACCTTTCTTAGTGAGAGCGCGGAGTGGCGTGGTGAGATCGGCCATGTTAGGAATGTAACGGCGGAGGAAGTTGGTGAGACCCAGGAAACTCTGTATGTCGCTGACGCAAGATGGCGTAGAGAATGCAGCCACAGACTGCTGGTGGCTGGGAGAGGCGCGGATGCCCTTGTCGGAGTAGACGCTAGCCATGAACTCGAGCCGAGACTTGAGGATGTGACATTTGGCTCGGTTGAGTGTAACGTTGTGATCTTGGAGCCGCTGGAGGCAGGCGACGAGTCGTAGGTTGTGCTCTTCGACGCTCTTACCAAAGATGAAGATATTGTCGTGGACGTTCTTCACACCGTCGAGGCCAGCGAGAATGGCGTCCAGTGCGCGCTGTAGGATCTCGGATGCGGACGATACGCCCATGGGCAGACGTTTACAGCGCATGAGACCCAGAGGAGTGGAGAAAACTGTGTAGCGACGTGACTCAGGGTGTAGACAGATCTGGTGGAATGCCATGTTCAGGTCGAGTTCTGAGAACCACTGTGCGTCAGCCATGGTGTCAGTGATCTCCTCAATAGTGGGAATAGGATGGCGCTCACGCCAGGCAGCGGCATTGACGTCACGGTAGTCATGGGTGATCCGGACCTGGCCCGGTTGCGACTTAGGGACGACGACCATTCGTGCCACCCAGGGAGTCGGACCGGTAGCAGGCTCGATAATGTCGAGGTCCTGTTGCCGACGTAGTTCTTCGATGGTGGCTTCCCGCAGATGGACAGGTACACGGGATGGAGGATGGGCCACTGGTGCGGTGTCGGGCTGGACGTAGATGTGGGCCTGGACGTCCTGGACGCAGCCGAGCCCGTGGAAGCGCGAGTCGAAGCGGCTCAGAATGGCCGCAGTTGCAGCTGTGGGCGCATCTGGTGCGGCGTCTGTGGTAGCAGAGGCGTGGTCAGTGGCAGGGCCGATGCGCAGCAGGCCGAGGCGAGAGGCGGAGTCACGGCCGAGCAGCGTAACGGACCGTGGTAGGTCAACTATGGCAAATGTACAGCTGAGGCTATGCTGGCCATGCGCCACGGGCAGGTGAACCTGACCTGCAAGAGGCAGGGGAGCGGACGCGCCAAAGGCGTAGATTTTGGCGGCGGCTGGTGTTATCTGCACGGCAGGTGCAATGCGAATGAGGTCGGCCCGTGTCATGATGTTTGTGGACGCACCAGAGTCGATTAGGACTGGCAACTCTGTGCCATTGATAGTGGCTGTGACGTGTGCACTGGTGGCCGCAGCATCATCACGGTAAGTTGTGAATGCCTCATACTCATAGTCAGGGAGGAAATGAGCTGCCTGTGAGAGGTAAACTGGGTCCTGTGGAGCCACTGCTGGGCTAGTACTAGTAGGTGCAGTGTATGGATGAGCATCAGCTGAAGTGTGGCTGGTGTCCATGCTGTGAGCATGAGACAGAGAGTACAGTGGGTCTGACATCATGTGTACTGAAGCTGGACCACTACTACTACTAGTACTTGGTGTGGACAAACAAGCTTTGGCCAAGTGGCCCCACTTGCCACACTTGGGGCAGCGCAGGCCCCGTGCAGCATCACAGGACCGGTGGCCTGGCTCTCCACAGCGGTAGCAGCGCGATGTGCTGGATTCCCGATCCCGTTGGCCTGGAGCGCGAGTGGCGACTGGGGCAGGTGGCTGGTGGTACAAGTTTGCAGCTGGATGTGGCGAAGACTGCATCGGTCGACGCGACGGAGCTGAAACAGTAGCAGGAGGCGGCTGTGCCCTGTTGTAGAACGGCGGCTGATGACGGAGGGCATTGACCGAGTCTTTTGTGCGCCGGAACGCCGTCGTCTGTTCCACAGACGCTTCAAATGCTCTGGCGGCCTTGAGTGCCTTGTCGAGATCAAGGGCCGCAGTCTCCAGCAGTTTTCTGCGGAGTGGATCTGACGTGCATCCTGCCACAATTTGATCACAGAGAGCCACGTTCTTCTGGTCGTCGTCGGCGAAACTGCAGGTCGTTGCCGATGCCAGCAAACGAGTATAGAAAGTGTCGAACGTTTCGCCAGGCTGCTGCGTGACCTGACGGAAGTGGAAGCGGGCCATGCTAGGGCTCTGCTTCGACTGGAAATATTCGGCGACGGCGGATATAAGATCGTCCAGATCGTCGCCAGTGTCGGCTAATGTAGGGACGAGCTGCTGGATGTCCTTGCCAGCCACATACTGGAAAGTGTGTCTCTGGCGAGTGTCGTCTGAGATGCCGGCTGCTGTGACATAGAGTCGGAAACTCCGTTCCCAAGCAGGAAAACGGGCGGCAGCGTCGTAGAGACTGCTGTAGATCGGGAATGGCTCCGGAGGCGGTAGTGGCAGCAGGGACATGGCGAGGATCAGGCGTTTGCTCGCAGCGCCAATGTAATGTTGGTCTCTTACTTTATTCCAACAACAGCTAACCCGGAGCTCCGGAAAGCTCCGCAATATGATGCCAACAGAATGTCATGGTGTGCGTGCATGAGTACACAGTCGGTGCGTACCGACTGTCAGCACAGGTGTGGAAAGCGGCCTATGTAAATGGGGATAGGAGTACAAACGGCACTGTGTATATATATGCGTGTGACAGTCCATATATGTATGTGTGAACACTACACCTTCCTGTAAATTAGTGCTCACTATATATAGGGTTTGTTTCTGTGATGGAGGGCGATCATGCTGCTACCAATTCTGACGACGAGTTTGCGCCTGTCGCGCTTGTGGACACTGTCGATGAGTTTGAGGATCCAGAAACGATATTTGGAACGACAGCTGCAGATCCTGCTCCTGCTCCTGCTCCTGCTGATCCTCATTCTGCTCCAATAAATTCTGGCTGGACCCACGACCTGATGCCAAATAGCGAGTTGCCAGCATTTGAGTCTGATGGGAGTCGCCTCAAGGTGGCTCTGACGATCGATCAGCTGATGGATCCGCTGCACATGTTCAAGCTATTTGTTGACGACGATCTAGTTAAAAGCATTTGCAAACAATCGAATCTCTATGCTGCTCAGGTGGCTGTGGACATCGACTCTCCGCACACTCGTGCCTGGCACTCTTTGGAGCCTAATGAGCTCTATGCCTGGCTTGGAATGGCTGTCAGCAATTCGCTACATCCGTACCCCTCCATGAAAAACTATTTTCGTGAGGACTTTGCTTTCAGCATGCCGCAAATGAGAGATGTGATGAGTATGACCAGATTTGAACAAATCAAGCGTTTCCTTCATCTTGCCGACCGTTGTAAGGAGAAGGCACCAAGAACGGAAGGCTACGACCCGCTGTTCAAGGTGCGCCCACTCCTATCGACATTGCAAGAGAAGTTTACGACATTGTATCATCCTGGTCGAATGGTATCCATTGATGAGATGGATATCGCATTCAAGGGTCGCTCGCAACAAAAGTCAAGAATTAAATACAAGCGGGCCGGTGATGGTTTCCTCACCTACTCGTTGTGTGACCCGTCGAACGGTTACACATGCTTCATGGTATTTCTATTCGACAGCCAGATCCCGGTGATGAAGGAGGGCCTAGCCAAGACATTTAAAGGGGAAGTTAAGGCAAAAATTAAAATTTCACCAGTTGTAGTCTTCGGGGTGCTGAGTCGAATGGTCGTGGTCCGAGGAAGCTGAGACGCTCCCTTCCTACTTGAATCCCAATCGAACTCGCGCACTTCCACTGAAACTGGGTGACTGCGCCCTACTAGATGGGGATTTGTATGCAAAATGTCACTAAAAGCGCCATTTCGTTCTTATAAAAGCACGGATGACCGCGATTGGCCCATATGTTGTAGTCTTTTGGACGCTGAGTCGACTGGTTTTGGTCCGAAAAGGCTGCGATGCAGCGTTCCTCCTTTATTCCCAATCGAACATGGTTGAAGAAGCGGTCACGTGCTCCTGCGTACACCAGTCACCTGGTCACCGTGCCTGCAGGGTACAACTTACTAACCTGTTTGACCTTTTTTGGGTGCAGTCCTGTCACTCGAGTTGAACTCGAGTTGAACCTTGGTGTGAAAGTTGTCACCTGCTGGCGTGGTGACCAGGTGATTTGGGCACCCAGGAGCACGTGACCGCTTCTTCAACCATGTTCGATTGGGAATAAAGGAGGAACGCTGCATCGCAGCCTTTTCGGACCAAAACCAGTCGACTCAGCGTCCAAAAGACTACAACATATGGGCCAATCGCGGTCATCCGTGCTTTTATAAGAACGAAATGGCGCTTTTAGTGACATTTTGCATACAAATCCCCATCTAGTAGGGCGCAGTCACCCAGTTTCGGTGGAAGTGCGCGAGTTCGATTGGGATTCAAGTAGGAAGGGAGCGTCTCAGCTTCCTCGGACTACGACCATTCGACTCAGCACCCCGAAGACTACAACTGGTGAAATATTAATTTTTGCCTTAACTTCCCCTTTAATGCTGTCCTGTATCTAGCGTCCAAGCTCCCTTGCAAAGGTCACCATGTGTTCGCCGACAACCTTTACTCTAACGCTGGGCTAGCCCAAGAGCTATTCCGTCGAGGCCACATGTACACGTGCACAGCCCGATCCAACAGGGTACCGGAGAGCTTGAAACAAGAACTTCCTCGCTCCACTGTGGACAGAGCCAACGCCAGGGGCAAAGTGAAGTGGGCGTCGCGTGGTGACGTCATCGCTTTGACCGTCGTCGACGTCAAAGTCGTGCCAATGCTGACCACTGCGCACCGTGAGATTGCCGACGTGGAGTTTACCCGCAAACATCCCGAGTTTGATCAGGAGGCAGGGAAGTGGAAGATGGTGGTGGCGGTTGCAAAGCGTCTCAATGTCATCGACGACTACAACCGGTTCATGGACGGCGTAGATGTTGCTGATCAACTGCGTACAAATTACGAGATCAAAATCAAGTCAAACAAGTGGTGGCATCCGATCTTCTGGTCTCTCATCAACACATCAATCTGCAATGCATACCTCCTTTACAAGGTTGGTATCGCCGACCATGCCGCCGAAGTCATGTCGCACAGCGACTTCCGTGCAAAGCTCGCCGAGCAGCTGGTGCAGTTGTTTCAGCGCCAACATGGCTGCACCAGTGGCAGGAAGAGGAGAGCGTCTACCCAGGCAGCCGTTGAGCGACCGCAGAACCGCACCGTCGGCCAGCACCTCATTGTCCGAGTGACAAGTGAGGTTGCCACAACCAAGCCCCAACGAGATTGTATGCTCTGCAAGGAGAAGGGGAAGAAGGGGTCGCGCAGTGTGTACGAGTGCAGCGCGTGCAACGTCGGCCTCCACCCCGTCTGCTTCAAGGAGTATCACACCACTTGAGTTACTCGTGCTGACTCTTTGTGCAAGACGTGGTGTATCATGTCACAGTGTGTAGATACAGTGCATCCCCATGCTCCTTTCCCCATGCTTTAGTTTTAGTTCTTCACCCCGTTTCTTTCGCTTGTTTTTGGATGTGCAATCGCGATTCATTTCATTTGTAGTGACTCTTGCGATGGCTTGAAATCCACACACCTTGCTTTGCCTCTTGCCGTAGTAGTAGCAGTTGTTTTTGGTATGTTTTACCGTTACACCACCTTAGTCATTTTCTCTTGGGCTGTGCTCCTGATTTACACTGGAATATCACGTCTTCCGATGTCGTTAATCACTCGGAAATATCACTAACGTGAAGTAGGAGAAAGTTTTGGTGTGTTTTGATGAGGAAAACTGATCCAGCAAACCCCAATGGTGCTCAGGTATGACTTACAGTACCAAACCCTATATATAAATCTTGATATCCTGTATATAGGGTTTGATTTGGCCAAACCCTATATATAGGGTTTGCCCATGACAGGCTGTATATACGACATGTAGACAAGGACACGAAATTAAGAAAGATTGCAACCACGACCAAACAAACATCTACCCTGGATGAATAATAGAAGGGAGAAGATTGACGAGAAACATCAAGAGACTGTCCGATGGAGATTGAGGGAGAGAGATATAGCGAGAGGGAGAGAGAGAGAGAGAGAGAGAGAGAGAGAGAGAGAGAGAGAGAGAGAGAGAGAGAGAGAGAGAGAGAGAGAGAGAGAGAGAGAGAGAGAGAGAGAGAGAGAGAGAGACTACCTTGATTTGTCCACTCTCTGTGGTGAATGGTGTTGTCCAGTGGACACACGTTGAACACTTATCCCAGTGAACGCTTTATTTGACATTTTTACTTCGTGTTACTTCACAAATTCCAAACGGGAATTTCTTCTCAATAACAAGGTACGGAAAAATTTCACGGGTCGCGTCAGACTCGGCTAGAGGCCGAGTTTTCCGCATCCGTATTAACGCCACCACCCTTCAAGGATCAAGGCGCAGATGCAGCTCTTACAGCGGTGGGAGGTGAGTAGATCCGCAAGGTAGCGAAAAGGGAAGGTAAAAAAAGAGGGCAAAAAGTGTGCATGCACTGAAAATGATAGTTAGCTGGAGATCAATAGCACAGATCCATTGTCTAACATAGCATTAGTTACTGGTGCGGAACTTGGCAAGGAACACAACAGACACCGGCAATGACCTATTGCGTAAGGTACTGCTGCTGATTTGAACGTAGGTCTCCAGCCTTTTAACCCTTTGAGGCCCATAGTACGGATATATCCGTACCAGTGTACAGTGCATACTTTTCAAAGCGCAACCTGGCGTAACTCGGCCGTCCCTTGACCAAATCGGACAATCGAAAGGGCTATCGACATTAGAATTGTCTCAGCTATCGGCTCGAAAAAACCCGAAAGCGATCCGAGTTCGGAGAGCGGAGATACGAGACTCGAACTAAATTCGCCAGCAGAGTCAACTCGAGCGCGTGCATTTTGAACTCGTTTTTAGGGGTTTTCCCTGACTCGCGGCCCACGCAGCTACAGATAGTTCACGTCATCGCAAAGGCATGTTTCTCAGCTCTCCAGTAAAAAAAATTTGAGCGATCTGCGATGCAATTTGTTGAAATGGCAGAGAATTTGAGTTGGGCGCTCGCAATGCTGGCTTTGGAGCGCCGTATCGCGCTGCGGCGCTGGTTCTGTGGATCGAGTGATGTATTGCTGGCTATCGCTGTATTCCTCTGGCCAAGAGCTTTCCAGAAAGCCCAAGATCACCAAAATCGGCCAAAGGACACCAAAGTTACGACCAGATAAGTACCCGGGCTCGCGTATGCGGCAGTGCATTTCTTGAAATAATTGTGGGCCCTAAAGGGTTAAAGCTGAAGCGGACGTCTCCAGGTAATCCGTTCCATTTACCTCGTGAACACCAGACAACAGCGTGACTCAGTGTCGCGCATGGAGGTGCTGAACAAAGCGCTGAGGGCCCTTGGTCATTTACAACGTTGTTGCCTCCAAACCATCTAATTGGCAAGCCTGCGCTGGGGACAACAATGTGAAGAAGAGGTTAGTCCGACTTCGGCGATACTTGGGGAATCGTGTGTTGCTCCCTACGTGTGAGCTCGCCCTGTTTGTCGCGCTGGAATGGAGCGACTCTGTAAGTGTGTATCCCTGGTGATGTTTATGCCTGGAGAGCACTATATAAGTGGTGCTCTTCAGGCACAATCTTCCTCAGCCTACTCAAGCTCAACTGATGAGGGCTAAATTCCCCGAAACACTGTGTATTGAGCAGGGAGTGGTGCTTTCTTTCAGGTTTGCCGAGTGGAAGGTTCGATGTACATGTACTTCTCCTGTGCTCTGGATGGCAGTCGTGAGTCTGTGAAGTGAGAATTCAAACCTGCAGGAAACGCGCGAGCTCCCATGTAGGGAACAAAACACAATTCCCCAAGTATCGCCGAAGTCCCAACCTTCGTCGCACCTTCTTCCCTGCTGTTGAATGAGAAGAATTATATCGCTGCTTTCAGTGCTATTGTGTCGCTCAAGGGCTCGATTTCAGGTTTAATGTCGTGTTCCTTTTCAACTAATTTTGTTTTCTGCTTTAGTTTTCTTGTTATTTCTGTACCTGCTTGGGTTATGTTTTTATCTACTTCAAAAGAAGCAGATTAGTTGTATCATAGATTGTACATGCATCATTGTGGATTTGCTGTTCACAGTTTTTCTCTCTTTTTCTTTCTTTTTTTTTTCTTCTTTTCTCAGTCTCCCTCACTATATTTTCTTCACATACAACAGCAGTACACCCCATGGTCTGAAGTCACCCGGGATGCTGCATAATCCAGACACAAAACCAATAAAGCCACCCCCATAATAATAATAATCATCAAATACGTCACAACGTGTACACGGTATGGCGTGAACAATGGAGCCTCATCGGCACATTGCCTGTGCAGTTAGAACGGCTGTGCATTGGCGACTGGAACTTAGCGGTGTGTGAGTGTCGCCAGGACACGCTCCGAAGACAGGGTTAACGTTTCTACACGTGTACGTAACGCTGGTCTTGCACACCTAACAGTACCACACTGCACAGTACTGTCAGTGGGCATGGGTGTATGACACTCAGTGTTACATGTACTGCTGTATGACACTTAACCACCGATGTACCATCATGTACCATCATGCGGTATGCCGTGGAACACACTGGAGTCAGTTTTCAGTCATGTTATCTAAACCTTCCCAGGCACTCAGTCATGCACCCCGTGCACACCGTCACACAAACGATCACAGCCTTTTCAGATAAGGAACAAATTATGCATGGTTCAAAGGAGAGAGAAAATGAGAGAGAAGCGAGAGAGAACTGGCTGCGCCAAGAAGAGCGAATGCAAAACCGCTGTCCCTGGCAAAACGTGCACGTACAAGTGCAGCACAAACGAGACCAGCGTACTACACGCAACAAATAAGGGTAGGGGGACGCAACCTAAAACGATACCAGTCCCCCCAGAAAGGGACAGCCCGCGTCACAAAACAAATGCAGAAATGCAGAAGCAAAATAAATAAATAAATCAGAAATTCGAACGACAAACAGTAGTGAGCAGGACGAAGACAGAAAGATCAAAGATGAGGAAAGAAAAGTGTTTGATCTGTCAGTGGGTGCTTGCACCCGATACGGGGTGACAGTAAACCCTGTCAGATAATGACACATCGTAGAGTTATTCTGCAGAGGGACTTCACTGAGCAAGAATATAACAAACCACGTAAGTAACTCTAGCAAATCGTGAATAATAATTATTGTAAATGCATACACAATAGAATGAAGTTGAAGACACCACTGCAGCTGTACTTATGGTTGATAAATGTGGTGGTAAAGACACACCTGGCATTATGGCGGTAAACACACGCCTGCCCACACACGCTCTCTAGGCTGCAAAGTTCTGGCACAGAGCTCTCCATGCATACACAATGTTATCATAAGTATTCGAACAGCATAGTTCCCTTTCAGCCCTCCACCTGATAATATTGGATGGGGCATACATGTCATGACATACAGCAGGGAAGACAGATGCCTAGCGATAGCGAGCAGGGGGCTGCAGAGAACCACGGGGACGTAATGAATGACCACCAACCAGATGATCAGATGGGGGAAAATGTCCAAGCAAACCCAAACATCATCATCACCATCATCACGAGGACCATCAACGCGAACATCGCCAACATCAGGCAGGGGCACTAGAGGAGCACACGCCACATCAGGAACAACCAAACCAACATCACGCTTCAAGAGCTCGACATTGACCACCCTTTCCTGACGAAGACCTGACTCAGGATGCACACGGCAAATCACAACACTGGCAGGACCAATAACATGATGTTTAACTGACCAACCAGAATCGAACGGGGGCTGACGTTTCTGGCAACGATCAGGGTTACGCAATAGAAAACGATCACCAACAACATACGGACAAGAAGGCGACTCAACAACAGGCGCAGGGGCGTGCTCTGCAACAACCGCCGTCAAATAGTCGTGAACCTGAGCAGCCTTATCACGCACACCATCAACCCAAAGAGAGGACGAAAGAGTAGATGGTATACCGTCCACAAATAGAGCACGAGGCTCCCAGCCAAACATAGCATGCATGGGAGAAATCTTCAATTCACTATGCGGACGAGTACGGTAGAAGAAGAGGAGAATCTCTAGCTCGGCTAGCCAATCGGCAGCAGTATCCAACACCTTGCGAATAAGAGTGAGAATAGTACGATTGAGTCTCTCGGCGCCACCCTGCGACTGAGGGTGACGAACCGCACCAGTACGAACGCAAACACCAAAAACATCCAACAAAGAAAACACACTAGCATTGCGGAACTCATGACCATTGTCGCAACGCACCACACGCGGCGGACCAAACTTCAAACAGAGACGCAGAAATTCCTCAGCAACAGAGCGACCATCATAACGCCGCAAGGGTACCACCTCGACCCAACGGGAAAACATATCGACAACCA